TGGAAAAGGACGAAGATTGATTATAACACATATTGGAAGCGATACGGGATTTTTAGAAAATGGTTTGCATGTATTTGAGTCACGAAAAACGGGAGATTATCATGAAGATATGAACAGCGACGTGTTTGAAAAATGGTTTGAATATGTTTTATCATATCTGGAGCCAGGAGCAGTTGTTGTGATGGATAACGCACCTTATCATAGTAGAAGAGTTGAAATGTTACCGACATCAGCATGGAGAAAAGGAAATATTATGGACTGGTTACAATCGAAAAATATTGAATATACAGAAACCATGCTAAAAGTACAATTATTAAAAATTGTCCAAAGAGAAAAAGGTCAATACATTAAGTATGTAGTGGATGAGATGGCCAAAGATCGAGGAATTCGTGTACTCCGTTTACCGCCATACCACTGTGAATTAAACCCAATTGAGTTGGTTTGGGCACAAATAAAGAATGAAATCGCACGAAAAAACACCACCTTTAAAATAAACGACGTGAAATTATTATTACAGGATGCTATTAATCACGTCACTGCTGAAACATGGTGTAAGTGTATTGGACATGCACAGAAAGAGGAACAACGTATGTGGGATCTTGATACAACGGTAGAAGTGTTCATAGAACCAGTCATTATTCATTTGGGTGAAGATGATTCTAGTGATAGTGATAGCAACAGTGATATGTGAAATATATAATGTGAATAATGTGATATGTAAGTATTTAAATATATTAATAGTGAAGTGATTATGTGGCAGTGAAGTGAAAGTGTGACAGTGATAATATTCGTGAGATAATTATTATAAAATATGTAAGTACCTACTTAAATAAATATATTAATAGTAAACATTACAATATTTTGCGGCGGCGTAAGCCGGGTGGTGGTGGGTTATCGATGCCCAAGAGGGCATCGTTTTATAGAAAACACTTAAAATTTAAAAACAAAATGTTACTAAAATATTTTTGAAGTTTTCTCGATAAAACCTCTAAAAATAATAGATGATATGTTTTATTATATTTTTTCCATATTTTCTACATCTTGTTGCCTTTTACGTATACACGCCTATGGATTTTCGATCCCCGCACGACTCATCCTCCTTACTAGTCCAAGAGCTAGCGATGAATCACTATCTATAATTTCGGTCGTCAAATATAGTATTGTGGAGATGTAAACCTGGTTGCTGACTTACAAAGTTATCAAATATTTTACAGAAATACTTTTTAGACTACACTTTTTTTTTTAATTTACGCCTCCACAATATAGATGACCTCACTTTCGCTCCTCTTTAAAGATCTATACTTAAAAAANATAGATATATACGTTTTTGAGGTCGCTGAAACTGAATCCGATGTCCGTTTGATCCGATTACCTCTGGGTTAAGGTCAGTTGAAGGTCAAATGTAAATAATCAATTTCCAACAAAGTAGACCTATATATCTATATGTATTTGGGGTCGCTGTATTCAAATCCGGTGTCCATTTGACCCTATAAAATCTGGGATAAGGTCAGTTCAAGGTCAAATGTAGAGAATCAATTGCCAACAAAGAAAACCTACATATCCATAATACGTTTTTGATGTTACTGAACCCGAGTCCGTGTTCGTTTGGCCCGACCACGTCTGGGTTAAGGTCAGTTCAAGGTCAAATGTAGAAAATCAATTACCAACAAAGTAAACCAATATATATATACGTTGGGGTCGCTAAATCCGAATTCGGGTCAATTTGATCCGAACAGGTATGCTAAATACTCCCAAGTTCTAAACTCAATCAAAGTAAGAATTTATGGGTCACAAATAAGATTAAAGAAAGAAAATNCAGCCTTTTTTTTCTTTTTTTACATGGGCTGCTTTTCCGTATGAAGTTCTTTTAAGGTCCGTCCACATGAATAGTACTTATGTCACTTTCACTCATTCTCTTTCACTTTGTGTTTCTGTTTCTTCCACTCACTTCTTATCTAATTTTTACTTACTATTTACAAAATTTCTTAAACTAACAATAATGTTCTTTTTTTATCTTTTAACTGTTACTATCATTTATTTCTCTTTTGTCTAAATCCGGGTTTTGTCTCATATCATGTAGATTTGCCTTTAATTTTGACAACTACTGTCACCTTATTTTGTAGTTTCTGATATTTAATACTATTTTAGTTTTCAATAAAGATTTTTCATTTCTCTTTTCTCGTCTTCTCTATTTATGTGTCTCTAACTATAACTTATTTTATCTATTTTAAATTGATATGTTTATTTCTTTATTTTGATTCCATTTTAGATATGCTATTTCTGTTATTAAAGTTCTATGTTATGAAACTTACTATCTTATAGTTGATATTTTAATCAAATTTAGGTTTATATCATGTTTTAATGGTTCAGCTATACACTTATTTTACTTTTTACTGGATTTTTATTAATTACATCTGCTTTTCTTGGGTAAATGCTTCTTTTTCAAACTTTAATTGAAATTTTTCTGTCTTAATTTTATAATTTTGTACCTTTCAGTTTGTGTTGACAGGGTCGGGAAGTCCCCATGGTTCATCGGCCGTTACGTGAGAGCGATAAAGAAAGTCATAGAAATCCGTGCGATAGATAATGAAGGCGTCTAATAGTCACCGCCCATTTCGCCCTTCCACAAATAAGATCCACTTCTTATTTGTGGAAGGATATATACATATATAGATATATACGTTTTTGAAGTCGCTGAAACTGAATCCGATGTCCGTTTGATCCGATTAGCTCTGGGCTAAGGTCAGTTCAAGGTCAAATGTAGATAATCAATTTCCAACAAAGTAGACCTATATATCTATATGTTTTTGGGGTCGCTGTATTCAAATCCGGTGTCCATTTGACCCTATAAAATCTGGGATAAGGTCAGTTCAAGGTCAAATGTAGAGAATCAATTGCCAACAAAGTAAACCTACATATCCATAACACGTTTTTGATGTTACTGAACCCGAGTCCGTGTTCGTTTGGCTCGACCAGGTCTGGGTTAAGGTCAGTTCAAGGTCAAATGTAGAAAATCAATTACCAACAAAGTAAACCAATATATCTATACGTTGGGGTCGCTAAATCCGAATTCGGGTCAATTTGATCCGAACAGGTATGCTAAATACTCCCAAGTTCTAAACTCAATCAAAGTAAGAATTTATGGGTCACAAATAAGATTAAAGAAAGAAAATGTAAATCTGAGCCCGTGACTCTCGAGTTAATTGTTTGAGACATGACAAAATTCTAGTATTAATAAGCCTAATTAAGTAAGCTTTAAACCCATTAACGCTTTATATACATTAATTTACACAGTCAGTCCGTGTCGTTTGAGATTCTTTAGAACAGATTTTCAAGAGGAGGGTTTTTGTCTTGATGAATCACATGAAATCACTATATCCCACTATTATGGTATCGAGACTACTACTCTCGATTGTGGTGTCGAACTGTTTTGCTGTCAAAAGATCTGTGAAATGGATTTCTTTTAAGTTTTTTCGACTTTAATGGTAAATCTCGTTTTAACGACCAACAGTATTCGGCTAACAAGTTTACATCCGATCTACCTTGGTACCGACACTCCAACAATATCATTGTAGTAACCTAAGGAAAATTCCTCATTATTAGAAAAATATTCCTTATTTCTGTACTGATAGAAAAAAGCTTTCACTTTTCCGGCTTGTTTAGTATTTTTTTAGCCATGATCTGCTCCATTCTCTGCCAGGCCCAAATCTCGAACATCATTTACTTTTTTTTGTTATATTGTTGACTTTTTCACGAAGTGATATGGAATATATTCGTCATCACTAGTACTACTAGCAATATCAGTGATAGTTTAATTGCCACCCAAATTTTCTCCTTCTTTAATATCTTGGTGAAACCTTTCTCTCTGCTCAAACCTAATCAAATATTTCACTTAGGTTTATAACCAAAAAATTTGTTTAAGCATTTTTCCTATGTTGATTGATCTATTAGAAAGTATTTAATAGACGTGATCGGTTCAAACGGACATCAGATTCGGATTCAGCGACCCCAAAAACGTATATATGTGTAAGTTTACTTTGTTTTCAATTGATTCTCTACATTTGACCTTGAACTGATCTCAACCCAGATCTGATTGGGTCAAACGGACATCAGATTCGGATTCGGCGACCCCAAAAACTTATAAATATGTAGATTTACTTTGTTGGCAATTGATTCTTTACATTTGATCTTGAATTGAACTTAAACCAGATCTGATCGAGTAAAACGGACACCGGATTCGGATTCGGCGACTTCAAAAACGTATAGATATGTAGGTTTAGTTTGTTGACAACTTATTTTCTACATTTGACCTTGAACTAACCTTAAACCAGAGCTAATCGCGTCAAACGCACACCGGATTCGGCTTCGGCGACCCCAAAAACGTATAGTTACATAAGTTTAGTTTGTTGATAATTGATTTTCTACATTTGACCTTGATCTGACCTTAAACCAGAGCTAATCGCGTCAAACGGACATCGGATTCGGATTCAGCGACCCCAAACCCATTCGGACCTGCCACTTTTTTTTGTGGGGCTGTGTAATCTGTTTTCAATAAATTATTTTTCATTGTCACAGCCCACAATGTAGATTAATTTAAAAACAACTGGTAACGTTGAAAATGCAATTTTACACACAAGTTCCGGGTGCCCCGGTTTACACTGCTCAGTAGCGACAGAAGAAGAATATTAAAAAAAAAAGATTCACATAGTTATTAATGTTTGATATTTAATAATAATTGATTTGTTCTCTATTCATTAGATTGTTTTTTAGTTGAAATTTGTATACGTAATCTTACATTCCTGGAACGCTGCCAAGACGAAAACATCATACCAAACTGCATGAGGTTAAGTTTCCATAAGAAGAACAACCAGACAAGAGCAAGCCTAGCTTTGCTCAGAGAAGCCAACCACGATACGAGAAGAGAACTAAATCAAGTTAACATGGACCTTTATGATATTCATTTAATACTAAGCAATACTTAACACCCAACATTGTGAACCATGTTAGACAATATCGCTGAGTTTAGAGCAGAAACCGATGGAGAATTAACAAGAAACAAGCACAAGAAGAAATTTGAAAGACTTCAACAGGAAGAACTCCCTAAAAAGAGAAACACGCCGGGACTAAATGCAGATAAAATTGTCTACAATGTCTCCAAAATGGTCCTTGACGAAGCCTTAAAAAGTGTGCTGTCAAAAGGTTTTAACTATGCTGTAACACCAACACAGATTGCAGTGGAAAACATCATATGCGGAGTGGAAGCATCTATTGAGAATATGGACACCAATATCGCAGAAACTATCCAACACGATGTGTCCCAAATAATGAGAAGAGCTAAACCGCCAAAAAAGAATCTTACGAGAGAAGAAACACAAGACCTACGTAATCTCCAAAAGAACACCAAGATACTCGTCCTTCCAGTTGAGGGAAATGCAACCGTCGTAATGAACACTCAAGAATACGACAGGAAGATCATGGCTTTACTTATCGACCCAGTATACGAACCTATCTCCACAGACCGTACTACATACCTTGAAAATACCACAAAAGCTAAAATTAAAGCGTCACACATCAGACAAGAATAATAACTGCAACCTATTCCAAGAGAGAACCACTGAACCACAGACACCCAAAAATCAAGTTCACCATGGAACTGGAAAAGGTAGCTACCTTTCCTTGTTGTATGTATAAAGAAAAAAGAAGATGGAGGTCTAGGCTATACGGTATATAGGAAACCAACACACACGATCAGGTACCTACACGCAGAATCTCACCATCACCCATCACAGCTACAGTCAGTGATTAAAACACTAATGATACGGTCAGAACGACTCTCTGACGACGACCACAAAGAAGAGGAAATTAAAAACGTTAAATTAGTCTTACAGCAAAATGATTTCTCAGGTAACAACATCGAGAGGACTTTAAGACCTAGACGAAACAAAGAACAGAAGGAAGAAGATAAACCAATAGCCAAAGCTCTCCTGCCATACGTCAAGGGAACTACCGACAAAATAAGCAGGGTTTTAAAGAAACATAAAATAGAAACCATCTTCAACACGGACAGGAAGATTGGCAATATGCTACCATCAGCCAAAACAAACATTCCTCTAGAAGAACAAGGAGTATATGAAATTCTCTGCGGAGACTGTGAACAGACGTAGATTGGACAAACTAATAGAAGAAATCAAACCCGGAAAGAAGAACATCGGAATACTGTCCAGAAAAATTAAAAAACTTCATTAGTTCAACATACAAAAAACACTGGCCATCAGATTGATTTCAATAATACCAAGGTACTAGCAAGGATGGAGTATAAGGCAAAAAGTATAATTAGAGAGGCCATCGAAATTGAAAAACATCCTCAAAATCTCAACACACGTGACGATACTCAAAGATTACCAACAGCTTGGAAACCTGTTCTGGAAACTAAGAAGATCAATAAACCAGTAATACGCAACACTGAGAATATGCCAAGCAGAACACAAGAACCTACAGCATCGTTAAACGTAAGATCCGTGACGCGCAGCCACGCGAAGAAAACCACACACCGGAACGAAAGCACAGTATAGGTATAACTCATCAAGTGGACAAACATCTTCCACTAAGCAGAACGTAGTAACGCGAAGCAGAAGTAAGAAGACCTGAAGATGGTAAATGAGATTTTACCGAAACGTCGTCAAACAAATGGTTCTTTTGAGGACCATGTACATATACATATTGTAACGAATTGGAAAGGCACACAAACAATCACGAATGAAAGATTACCTGACCGAACTTTGGATCATAAATAAAAACTAATTATTAATATAGCAAACAATATTAGTATAAAATTGTTAATATAAGGACTCTGAATAAAAATAAGTATCAATTAAAGAAGAAGAAAACAAAACCAAAATAACGCAACACTCAATATAACACAAATTAGACAAAATTAATATTTTCATAAAATAATATCTTAACAATATATATATATGCTTTTTGTGGCTTCTCATACCCGTTTTATTATTTCTAAGTTGATAAAATGATATTCATTCCAACCAAAATAATTCTACTTTTCATATGTTCACTATTTATTATTAATATATGCTTATTAAATGCGTGAAAGAGTGAAAACTAAAACACAAATTAAAAATAACAAATTAGGAGTACTATTCTCTTCTTATTCAACAAAATCAAGTATTATTACTGGGAAAAATGTATACTTGTAACGTGTGTAGTGGACTGTATTTTTTATTTAATATTTATTTAACAAAGGTAATGAATACAGATACGGATGTATGCTTTAAGGATAACAAAAAAAATTGACAGTTTTTATAATAATAAAAATTGACAGATCGCCGTATCTTGACTACGGAGACGATAACAACTTGATTGGCAACTGAGATATAAAACGTCTGCCAGTCTGATACTTGGCTTCACCTCCACCATCACACAGCGTCGGGTATAGTTCGGAACATGCCCCCGGCCTTGGAAGGATTAACTAACAACAGGAAGAGGACAAAGCCGAGCCAAAGCTCGTGCAATAATTCCATCAGAAGTCTGGACATTGGCTACCAAGGCAATACCATCTATACCATCTTCATCAGCAATTAACTTCACAACTCGTCCTAGACGCCACATGGAAGGAGGCAAGTTGTTATCCTTGATCAAAACTAACTGATCCGTTACCAAGCTACCTTGGTTTCTTTGCCAACGTTGGCGTTGTTGAAGCTCGCTAATATACTCGCGACTCCAGCGCTTCCAAAATTGTTCGTACAACCTCTGAAGGAGTTGATATTGTGACAGGCGGTTTTCTTTCCATCCTGATACTGGCATTTTTGGGGTAGACATAGCTGATCTCCCAATCAAAAAATGAGCATGTGGGAGAGGGGTAAAATCATCAGGATTTGAACTCAAGGGAGATAAAGGACGGGAATTAAGTATCGCCTCGATGCAAATAAGAATAGTTTGAAAATCGAAGAAAAATAAAACTTGATTTGCTAAAACTCTTTAAATGATATTTAAGGCTTTTGACGCCTGCCACCCAGATTCCTCTGAAGTGAGGTGAATTTGTTGGGATGAAGTGCCATCTTATATTCAAATTAGATACGGAGTGACAAATATGTAAATGATTGTTTTGGAGGAATTCAACTATTTCACGCATGTCCTTATTTGCCTTGACAAACGTAGTTCCATTGTCCGAAAATATTTCAAATGGACGACCACGGCGACTTATGAAACGATCGAGAGCTTAAACTCAGAGATAATACAAGCTTTAAATGTACTGCACGTGTGCTAAAACACACGAATAAGGCCACCCAACATTTAATGGGTTTACAACCTCTACCACGTTTGTCCTTTAATATGAAGAGGGACCAGTGTAATCAAGCCCGACAGATCTTGTTGAATAATCGATCTCATTCAAAGATAGACCAGTAGAGGTAGCTGAAGACGCATTAAACACAACTTGTAGTTTTATAGTAGTACTCGATGCTTTCAACACCCCGTGGTGTGGCATGAAGTATTCCGGTTCGTTGTTTATGACACAATCAGTGACTTGGATCATATGTCCCAGTTGTTCGTATTCTTTTAGAAAATTTATGTATAAGTTACGTAAGGCCTCGTTTGATATAAGTCGTCTTTCGAGTGATTGAAACGTTTTATCGCCATTTCGCGAGAATCGCCTAATTTTAGAACAGATTCTTTGAGCGGGAGCGAGACTACAAATCGCCCATCATTGGAAATTGGCAAATGTTTTAGAAAATACTCTTCGCATAATCGTTCCTCGTTTGACCATGATTTCTCTGTCGCAATTTCCTCGGCTTCCCAAAATCTACTTAATTGTTTCTGAAATGACAAATTAATACTTAAATTACATCGCGAATTATTCGGAGACGCATGCATGTTTCCTGCTACTATCCAACCTAAGCGAGTATTCTGTAAGATGGTATGCAACCCGATATTTATTCGCCCTGTACATAACTTTTTCCAAAACGCATCTGCTCCGATTAGTATATCTATGGGTTGAGGAATGAAATATTCAGGGTCAGCTTACTCAATATTAACCGGTATGTTTAAATCTTGAATATCTATGAGCGTATCTGGGCGTTCCAGTAATCTTGTTCAGCACAAATCAAGACAAAGTAAACGAGTATCAACTATTTATTGAATGAATGTTTAGTTCACATTTGTACTTGTTGTAAGACAGATATTCACTAATACCTCATATGGCTAATTGAAAATTCGTTTTATTTCAATTTAATTTTTCACAAAGTTCGGATGTTAAAAAACTGGACTGTGAGCCACAATCTAACGAAGCAATTGTTCGTATTCGTGTTATCGCTGGTACTCGCATTTTCGTCAGACACATGTTTTCTTGATTAACTACTACTGCCGGCTTCGTTGATGGCTTAGACTCACGCAAAACTGTATGTATGTTTATCCCCACATACTTTACACCCGAACCATTTACAATCATGAACCTCGTCTAAAACAGTTGAGACATAACTGTAATGCTTTAATACTGGATATACGATAATTAATTCATAATTTATGATATGGACAATAGAATAAACTGTGATCTTTTTTGCAATTAAAATACGTATATGTCGGTATGTAGTGCTCAATATTACCATTACCTAACTTCGAATTGTCTGTTGGACTTAGAAAACCTCTCAAATAACTTCCTGATTTAACGTTTGTTCGCGTATTTATGTATTATGATTATTTTTTCGCATATCATTTCGCTTATCATTAGTTTGTTCAAACCCCATTTCCATGGTGTCTAATAAATTGGCACGTCTCTTAAGAAATTCCTTGAAATCCTTTAATGTAGCACAACTATGATTCGCCTTTTGTTTTTCCCATTCTTGGGTCGTATTCCTGTCGAGCTTGCTAGTCATTATATAGATCAATAAAGTGTCCCATAAGTGTGTAGGTTCACCTAATTGACTAAGAGTATTTAAATGTTTAAATAAATTTTTGTATAAATATCGAATTTTATTGGCAGACGAGCCCACAATGCATTCCATGTTGAAAACTGCGCGAATATGATTTTGAATTAAAAGCTGTTCATTATTAAATCTATCGCATAAAGCATTCCACGCAATAATGTAATTATTGGCAGTAAATTCAAGCGATTGAATTACTTGAGGCGCTATACCTATTAATGTTGCGCGTAAAGAATGGAATTTTTGAATATTACTAATTTGGGCATTATTAAAAATCAACTATTTCAAACATATCGCGAAATTCCATCCATGTCTCGTATGTTCCATCAAATTTGGGTAATTCTATTTCGAGTAATTTTATAGCTTCCACCTGCCGAACTCGTTTTTGCACCACTATTGTTGCATTGCGGGATGATTTGTTCGTATAATAATTTTGCTTTTGATAAAATCGAATAAAACCTATTATCAAATTATTCGTGTTCCGTATACTGTTTTTCGACATCGTCTACTATACATTCGATTTCGTTCTGAACTTCCTCGAAATTTATGAGTAATGACTCAATGTTCCGTATTCGTTGTTCTAATTCAATGGCCTTAGAACGTTATGTAAGCTCTGTGATTATTTGATCGCCTTCAAACCTCTCAACGTACTT